TGAACTTCCCACGCTCCTCTGGTGAACTAAGAACACGCTTATCTCCCTGAGCCTGGCCTTCATAATTCCATTCCATCACAGTTATAAGGTTATAGTGACAGACTCGTGCAAGTCTGAATGTGCCTCCCCACTCCCTCCCTTTATCTTCATGAGAGCTGGGGAGGGTCTTGTCTGAGAGGTTTTCACAATTCTGGTCTGGACTGAGATTTCTTTTATCTGACTGCTGTCTTGGTTGTGGCTCTTCCTTCTGTTCCTCAAGGATATTCCTTTTTCCCAACAGAAGTTTTTTTTTTCCCCTATGCATGGCTTCTGGATTTTTTCACTGTCTATTTTGCACCCTTTTATTGATCTGCCCAAATATTATTAAAATGCCCTATGGATCTTCATCAGTTAATGTGAATCCTTTTGAGACCTAGTTAGGCATAAATGTCAAAACTTTATGGTCTCAAGTGGAGTATTGAGAGTCTTTCTCTTTTTTTAAAGACACAATTAAATCTTACCCACACCCTGAGCAAAAGCTGCTCATTAATCATTAATAATGACCTCCAGATCTAATTAAGATGGGCTAGGAATAAACATGCTGTCACAAATACGACCTGGCTTCCCCCCATGCCCACCCCCCCGCACCACCACCGGCAAACGTACCCCACGGCCCAGATTGGCCTGTGCTGCCTCCTCCAATTCCCTGAATCCCTGAGTTGCTAGTCTGGGGGCCGTGCTTTCAATCAGCTCAGAGGTTGCGTGGAGAGGAGGGGAGGAAAAAACTCCATCAAAAACCTAGCCAACAGGCCATGCCTGCATTTCGGGTGCAAACCACCCTGGAGTTAATTTCTGCGGTAAGTTTATCTAAGTTTTACAGCATTGCTGCTATCAGAGAAAATTAAAAGATTTGGCAGATTACAGGAGCAGCAAATATAGGAAAGATTATTTAAAAGACCGGGTATTGGAAATCAGTCTATTTGACATCAAGGCTCTATATGCAAGAAAGCAAGCCCGTGTCTGCCAAGCAGCCTTATCTGATAGGGAAAAATGCTCCTTTCGGCTATTTAGTGGTTAATCCCCTGATAGAACAGTTTGTCAGGTGCCATCACAAAGCATTTGCCTTTAGGCAGCAGAGCCGAGCTAGGAGCACTCTTTAACGGCACAAAGCCGGTTTCTTCCACATTTATTTCAAAGAAAATATTTAAAGGGAAACTGCCCATTTGCTCTGGCTGAGGAATGCAGCTTTTCTCCAAATGAAGCCAGGGGCTGAAAGCCACATCCTTTGTATATAATTTGGAGCTCTGAAAGAGCCAGGTCTGCTCATCGGATTTGGATTTCGTGCTCCCTTTTGAGAGCAGCATAAACCAAGAACTGCCAAAAACAAAAAACCACACCTCCAGGGTAAGACCAAGATGGCCTTGACATTCCCCAAGGCTGGAAGTTCCTTTCATGTATTTAGCATCACCACTAGCATGATATGCAAGTGCACGGGACCTTCCATGGGAGTTGGGTCCTTTCTGGAATGGGTTAGCTCACAGGGAGTTATAGGAGTGTTGAGCCCAAATCACTCAGAGTGGGGGCCAAAGTGGATAACCAGGGATGCGCCAAAGGACTTAGAAGACAACTTTCAGAATTCTGTCTGGGAAGAGATGGATTAGTTTTGGGACACCCAAGGAATTAGTTCAGTTTTACTAGACTAATTACTAGTCTGACTAAGAGTAGGACAGGAACTCCTTTGATTCCACTGTACTATTATGACACAACCTTCTTCCTCCTCTTAAAACTAAATCTGCCTACACATAATTTGAACCACGGCTTCCCAGCCTTTTCTGACATCATCTGAGAAAGGACAAAATGATCTGCAATGTTTTATTAGCGCAGACAGCTGCCTTATTATATCTATTACTAGATCCTGTTGTAGGTCATAATAGGCAACATTCCCAAAGTAGTCACGTATCTTGGGTTCTTGATCTTCTCTGAGCTTGGTTGTTTTCTGCAGATGTTTTATTACAAAGCTAGGTAACATCATCAGCACAATCAGATGGTGTCACTTAGCCTGGTAACAAACACTGTAGGAGGAGAGCTACATTAGGCAGAAGCTTTCATCATCTAATGCTGATGCCTTTTAATAAAATAGGTTAGTCGGAAAAAGTGCTACTAGATTCTGCAGGAAAGCCACCAAGCCCAGAGAACACCAAGTGCCCAAGAGATCTGTCCTCCCCATAGACTTCACCCTTTCGGTAAAGTACCGTTATTATGGCTTCTCCTTCCCTATCCCACCACGGTGAAGGCTCTTATTATTTCAAATATTTCTTTGGATTGCTCCTCAGCTCAGTGAATCTTCTGCATTCCCCTGATATTTGCAACTCACTCCTGGTTGTGGGGCTGCATCAAAGCCACTGCCGTGGGCAGGCCCAGATGGGTAACAAGATGGAGCCAAAGACTCCCTTGGTGGAAAGATCTACAGGCCATTGGCGAGAAGCTACGGGAGCAAAAGACACTTATATTGGCCTCCCTCAGCTGATGGAGTTTAACGTTCATAAGCCTCACCCAGGAAAGTCTGCTACAGGCTACTGTGTAAGGGTTGTCACGGCTACAATGGATGAGTTGTCTAGGAAAGTAGTAAGGAGGAAGAAAGGGGTTATTGAATACTTTTGTAGAGAAGAAATGCTACAAGGTTTTCCCAGAGCCGGTGAATGGGAAAATGTAACCAAATGCACTTTTTGACCGATTTATGAAATGGTTTCAGTTCACCAAATAGACTGATACTGTATTTGGAAAATCTGACACTGTATTTTGAATACACTTCTGTCAGTGAATGTCAGTCTAAATCACAAAGCTTCGAAATATGTGACAATAGCTTTAAAGCTTCAGATTTTGCTGCATTATATTTTTGATTTTCACACTCAGCTGAAATAAGATGATTTTACTCCAGCAACACAAAAACTGGCACAACTTCAAGCCCATCTGATGTCTGTAGGAGTCAATAAGAGTTCTACCACTGGGAAAAAAAATAAATTAATGAGATTTATTGGCATCATAAATGCTCCAGCAGGAAGATATATGTATATTTCCTTAAACAGGCAGTGTCAGATATTATTTGATCATCATGTTTAGCAATATCTTTTCATTTACAGTCTCCAAAAATTTATTCTTCAACCATAAATGTCTAGAAACCCACAGCTCTGGTTCTTTGAAAAGGTGATGGCATTTCGACAAAGCGTTTGCGTAATATAGCATCGGAGATTAGTAACTGCAGTTCTGCTTTTATTTCAGCACGTGTTCCCAATGAAATAAAAAGGTTTATGTCAGAAATTTGAGCAGAAACATAAAAATAAACTTCTGAGTGATTTATTCGTGGAACATGAATTGCCTTTGGATTCCAGCAGCCTTTCCAGCCAATACAAGGCTGCTTCGGACGTCTTGCGCACCTTCCACAACTCAATGCTTTACAAATACTAATTACAGGTAATAAGATGCTGATGACAGCGTGTTCTGGTTTTCCAGAGCGGGAGCCAAAGGCCCCTTTGCCTTAGCAGCCCTGCGCAAATTAGCTGGAAGGATTCAAAGCCAGAGGCAGCCGAGGCGAGCGGCTTCCACGGCCTGCATGACGCACGTCCCTTTGTGATAAGGACGCCCACCCTTCTCTGTTCCTCCTCTTCTACCTATCTGGCCACAGGGGAATGAGATGGGCATCCAGAAAGAGGGCAGCTGCTCCAAAGAGTGAGGCCGCTCACAATCGGGGCCTAGCTAGAGGGCAAGGAGGTGGTGGTGCTGGCGGCAGACGGAGGGGTAAGAGACAGAAGTTCACCCGTTGGACCCAGTGGCGCTAATGAACGAGTTTGCTTATGCATAAAACTCAAAGACGCTGCCTGCCTCCTTCTACACCTCAGCTTGCCCGCCTTTCCTTTTTTGTATTTCATGAAACAAGAAAGCCCGATGGGCACCGTTCCACCCAAGCAGCCTCTGCGGGGTTTCAGGATACAGATCCAACGGTGGATACAAA